AATGCAGGTTCCCACGCTTTGTGGTTGCTCTACTTGTTCCTCTTCTGCTCCTTACTCTTACAATATGTGCGGAACGTTAGTGACAGAGTTGTAAAAGGAATCAGAATGCTTTTTCCAGTGCATAGTCATGAGCTTTATGGTTTTGATTATCACTCCCACTAGCAATTCCGACTCGATCGCTAGTGAAAACGAGCGTTTATCCAAACCAAATCACCCGTATCTCCCCCTCAAAGGTGACATTGTTGACCCGTTACGTGAAATGAAAATCTCTATTCAGTCAATCAGCTGTCCACTCAGAGGACAACACTATCAATCATTGGATTCTGTACAAGAATGCTCGAGCATGGAAGTTGAGCTTGAAACGAATCTGCGATAGATTGGAAATGAAAGCTTATTTCATAATATTGTTTATGCAAAAATGGAAGTTCAGTGCTTAAAGAACGTATGTGTTACATCAATTTCCTCCGCTCCCGCTATTTATTATGATGCGAAATCTGGCGTGGACAAAGAAAGGACAACTCCAAGTGCTTTTACTGTTTTAGAGAGTGATTGACAGTAATGTCCGTAATCTCATTCCTCAGCCTGACTTTAATATTTCGGCCTTTAGAGCTGGAAGTGAAGATGCATATTTTTCATTGAAAGGTGAAGTACTGTAGAGGGACGTTGCAAACTTTAAAACTTCATCAATTATTTGCGTGGATTGTGCCTATAAAGATTATCAGGGAATCTTCAGTTATGACTATGACAGTAGTAATGGGGGTCACTCTGGGCTCGACCAATCAGAAAGCCGGATATAGGTCACATGGTACAAATGGACCAATCAGCGTGCAGCAAGAGGTCACCTGACCTGTCAATCAGCAATTAGGGTTTTCAATGTCGTCATGGGGTGTTAATGAGCTGTCAATCACTCATTAGTGCGTCGATGACGTCATAGGGGTGATGACGTGTTGTAAAAGGGACCTCGTGTCACGTTGGGGTGTGGCCCTGTAACCCTAACCCTAGAGCCCTGTTACCCTAATTCTAACCCTAAGGGCTGTTATATTTGAAGACAAAGGTGATTGCTCGTCCTTGTGGTAAGCCAAAAAATTCGCGAGGGCGCATGCGCACTATGTCAACTTGTGTTTTTGGGGGGTAAACGGCGTTCCCCTCGGCCCTGACCCTAACCCTAGGGTGGGGCCGGATCAAGGCCCCCCCAGACAGTCTCCCCCGGTGGTCACGTGGGTATTCCCTAGGGAATTCAAAAAAAATAAAAAAAAATAAACGCAGGTTTTTTGCACAGGTTTCAACTCAGGTTTATTACACAAGTCATGAACCCTAACGTCACAAGCGGGAACGTGTGCCCGACCCTACGGGTGTGGGGCGTCCCATCATTTTTTCATTGGCACGGTTCTGGAATGAAAGGCAAGTCCTCCTCCCAGTCTTCTAAGGGAGAGTCTATGTCCGAGAACAGGACCGACAACACCATGTCGTCCACAATGTCCTGACTGGGCCGATACCCATAGGGGTATGTTATGCCAGCATTGGCATCCAGCACCCGTTTGTCTTGGACCATGCAGTAGGTCTTGAGTTGCCGCACGGAATGGAGCGTCTTGTCGGTGACGTTCCGTACGATGTGATGGGGGTTGTCGACGGACAGCGTTCTGGGACGATCGAGAGGCTCGTCAATGTCTTTTTGCACCAGGTTTCGGACGCTCTCGAAGTTCAGGACAGCTTGTCCCCGGGCTTCCAGGGTGAAGCCGCACACCTTGCAGCATTCTTGGCCCGAACAGGTGCAGTAGGCGTAATTTTTGGGTCCGCCGGCCACGAATTCGTCAATGACGTCGCCTTTCAGTTCGTCCTTGAATTGGCCCAGGAAACGTCCTCGTGGCAGGTGGGTCTCGCCTTGGGTGTCCATGTACAGGACGCGGGTGTGCAGGGGGAGCAGCCCATCCTGATACAGTTTGACGCGCGCGTGGGCCGTGGTGAAGGCGGCCACGAAGATGTTGGTGTTGGTGCCCAGTTCGCCCACGTCTTCCTTGAACGAGTGGTACATGTCGATCATCTGTTCGCCGGCCGGCAGGATGCGTTGGATGTCGCGTTTGCGGTCCAGGAAGATGTCGAAGAAGGTCTCGGGGTCCTTGCAGGTGGTCACCTGGGTCTTGTTGGTGCGTTGGCCGAATTTACCCCAGAAACTGTTGGCCATCAATTTGCCCAACGTGCGTCGACCCTCGTTGCGTTCGATCTTGGCCGGGTTGAGGATCACCCCTTCGACGCGCCGAAACTCTTCCAGGTACTCGATCTGCAAGCTGGGATCTTTGGCCACCTCGGGCGAGGGCCAGCCGTCGCCTTCCTGTTTCACCTTGATCCACGTATTGATGTAATCCCTGAACAGGGTGGTGGAGGTCTGACGAAAGTTCCACAGTTCGTAGATGTGGAGGATCACGTACCCCTGGTCCGGGCCAGCACCAATTCGGGCGTGCACCAGGTACCCACGAAGGCTCGTTTGCGAGGGGTGTGGTCACAGACGTGAGTGCGTTCCGTCCAGGGCAGGGGCACTTGGTCTCGGGTGCATTGGATGCACAGGGGAAACAGCAACTTGCCGGCCACGCGGACGGGCAGCACGGGATGAAACAGGTAGTGAGGCGGCAGGACGCGGCATTGGACCAACCCGTACAATTGCTGGCGCACCAGTCGGTCCCAGTCTTCGGGGGTCTGGCAGGTAAACTGCGTGTGAATGACGGGATGACCCACGGGGTACTTGCAGTTCTTATTGACCCACGGGTACAGCGACGTGAAATCGTCGTAGAAGATGTGTTGGTCCGGCTGGGCCTGACAGTGGGATCGGACTGCTTCGGTCCGTCTGCCGAAGAAGGCCTCGCGGGGATCCAGGGTGTCACCAGATCCAGGGTCTTGGCCCACAGGCGCAACTCGGGATCCTCCCTCTTTTGGGCTTCCCATTCGCACTCCCACTTTTCGACCACCACGTGACCGCCTTGACGGATGCGTTCGGCCCGTTGGACCGTGCGTGTGTACAGTTCGTGGGGCGTGGCCCCGTCGAGTTTGGCGTGCCGCTGGTGTCGCTGGGGAAAACATTCGGGGCACCTGTGGTAGAAACACCCGTAGAATTCGTACACGAACCCGGTGCGCGGATCGTAGCCGTCCCCGTAGTAGTGATGCTCGCTGATCCAGAACAGCACTTCGCCTCCGTTACGGCTGTGGCGTAGGCGGGGTTCACCGTCCGTGGGTGGGGGCAGGATGCGTTCCAGGTGGTACAACCATTCCAAGGTGGCTCTCGATTGACGGATCTGCGGATGCCAGCCGTGCAGTGGTTTGATGGCCAGGGTTCGGGGCCGCATCCAATGGCGAGGTAGGCCACGTTGCACGTCGAGGCGATGGTGATGCATTGTTCAAAGGGGTCGAACCTGCAAATGCCCCTGAATTCGCGCTCGAACAGGGTACACGCCTGTTTCAGGATCTGCACGTCGGACTGGCAGTATTTCAACAGTTCGGCTTGCAGGTTAAACGCGATTGGACGCCACTTGCTCCGCGTACCATCGTTCGAAGTCGGCTCGACGGGCCGGTTTCATGCCATCGGGATTGTAATACTGTCGGGCCGGCATGGCCCCCACGTACTGCTGCAAGGTGGGCACGTTAAAGAAGTGCGGAAAGAACCCCTTGGCTTCTTCCCGCAAGCCGAAGGTCTGGGGAAACGAGGCCAGGGCCATGGGAAAAAAGTTCAAACTGTTGATGAACTTGATGCCCCCGGGAATGGCGACGCTTAGGAGTTTGGCCCTGTTGACGATCTGCGAAGGGACCACTGCTTGTCGGTACAGTTCCTCGAGCAACAGGTAGCCGTTGTAGCCTTGAAAATTATGCGCGATTACCACGAACGGGCGGCGTCCGGGGTCCGTCACTCTCAGGTTCCACACCCAGGTCATGAATTCGGCCATGGACGGAAACTGGTAGCGTTGGTCGTTCAGACTGGTCTTGGCGCACACCAGGTTCACGCGATGCGCCTCCCCGCCTTCCTGCATGCACTTGCAATCGAAAAAGATTTTGACAACGGCCTGCTCCTCGGGCCCAGGTCCCGGCTGGTCGGCGGCGGCGGCGGCGCTGCTGGTGGGGTGTTTGCGTCTGGGCCCTCGACGATTTGGCACGTTCTGGATGAAACATTTGTGGTCCCACACGTCCACCGTGTGCCCACAATTGTAGCACGGTTGATAGCCGCACAGGTGACTGAGAAAGGACTGGAAGTCGTGGAAGGTGCGTCCGCAGTGTCCGCAACACCCTAGTTGGGCACACACGTTGTCGAAGGTCAGCGGGTGGACCCTTTGACCGCTGGGAGAACGAATGGTGTGCAGTTCAAGGCACCAAGGACCAAAGAAACGGCGATGGCAATGGGGGCACAGTTCGGTGGCGGCGTCTCGGGCAGGGTGGGTGGCAAAGTCCGAGCAGTCCGTTTGTTGGCAACAATAACACTTGAAGCCAGGACACCGATGATGTTCAAAGTCCTGGGTCTTGTACCCTTTGCGGCACCGGAAGCAAAAGTAGGACACGCCAAAATACGCGTTCAATTTGGTGATGACGTCGTAATGTCCCTGGTGGGCCAAGAGAATGAGTTGGTGCAGGGCGGTCGGGCCGCAATGCACGATGGCATTCCCGTGATTGACTATACAAGCACATACAGTATTGCAAAAGCTATTTTTAGGAATCAAAATTACATCATAGCGCAATTACGTTACTTTGAAAATAATTTGTCACAAACATCAAAACAAGCTGAAATATATTTTATGAATTGTATATATTGACGAAGTAATTAGAGGAGTTCATCAGTTCATTGATCACACCGTTTATAGGTAACTGGGTAATATTTGAAATCTTGACTTTATAGTACAAATTACTTCTAATCATAGAGTGTGTAGGACAGTGAAAAAGAAAGTGAACCTCCTTGTTCTATTTATGGATCTACAAAAAGACCAATGCCTATTATCCTTCATAGTTTGATTGTATCTGCCCATTTCTATCATTAGTTTGTGATTGCTTATTCATAGTTTTACTAAAGCCCTTCTCCCAGCTGTTCCTCTTATTAAGTCTAAGTAACTAGAGGTGGTGTGATCTGTTTTAAAAGATCTATAAAATTCAAGTTTTTGGGAATGTTGAAGGGTGTTTTGCCAATATGAGATATATACCTGATTCATTGAACTTACATAGCTTTTTACCATGCCGTAAATTTCCGAAAATAAGCTCCGGGGCTTATATTTTTCAAAGGCCGTTTTTGAGGGGCTTATGTGCGGATAGCCTCCCCGCAGACGTCCTTTGGGGTTCGTTTGTCATGCATTAATTTCTCCCCCAATGCGTGACAAACTAACCCAAAGGATGTCTGCGGGGAGGCTAATGTGCGGAGGGAAATTTGCGTTTCAAAACCGATTGGGCTAGCCTTATGGCTGGAAGTAAATTTACGTTTTTTGCTTTGTTTTACTTTGTATTTGAGGGCAATTTTCCAAGTACAAGCCCCCAGGGAGCTTATATTTGGAGTGGCGATTTAACGGAGGGTTTTTTGGATTACCGGTTTGGGGGGCTTATATTTGGAGGGGCTTATTTTTCAGAATTTTACGGTAGCTATGTCTAATAAATCATGGTCAAAGTCAAGAAGCTTAAAATATTCTGACATATTCATCAATGAGAAGTAAAAAAGCTTGTTTGACAAAAGATTCCTCATCTTTAGACTGTATGTACAAAATGTATTTGAGAATTTTTTAATGAATAGCGATATTTAAAGGAAAACAACCAAGCTTTGCTCTACATTTTTGTGAGAGTCAAATTCATCCGCGCCCAGCGCCTCCCGGCGTCTTGCCCACGTTGTCAGTCCCAGGGGTGAAGGATCAACAAATTTTGTGTTGCATGGGGGTTGGGCACTTGCCTTTCCCTAAGCCTTTGACATGTAGGTGGTTTTCTATCCAAATATAACTAAACATGGATGATTTTACTGGAAACACAAGCAGATTTGCCTATCTGTCAAGGACTTGTAGCGGTTTTTAGAGGCATGTTTTCTGGACTTTATGTATGCATTTGTTGGATCAATTTAGCTTTCTGGGGAACTGCCCACCTATACCTCCCCTAACTCAACGTTAACATTTGTGTCTCACTTGGGGCAAAATGTTGGGTTAGGGGAGGGGTAAGTGGGCAGTTTCCCAGAAATCTAAATTGATCCCATTTGTTCATCGCATATCGACAGAGAACTTACACTGGGAAATCGGGAGCTATCGATGTACTACAACTGTATAGACGTTAAAAGAATCAGGAAGGTGTGGGTGCAGTTGGATTTGACTTATCAGTACTCGTTTAGTTTGTACTAATATCGTAAAGACTGGTTTCCCTATGATGACTACCTGCTGCAATGGTTATGATTGTAGTGATACTCATAGGTGGAAAAAATGTTTAGCGATTGATGGTTTTCATAATGTGTGCGATGCCTTAATTCTCTCACTGAGTGAATGAAGATCGAGAGGGTCTAGTTTTGATAACGAATTGCACGTTGTTTTGGCGTTCGTGCTGATAATCAGAAGTTTAGCACCAGACGTTCTTGATTCACGAACGGCATGGCTGGGCCGGGCAAAACTGGATCGGGGACGTGGTTTACACGCCAAATGCAAATCATTAAGCCATCTCGAACACCGACCGAATAATTTATTTGAAAATTTTTTTTAAAGATTTGTAGGCAGTGTTGTTGCTTTTTTACGAAGAAAGCATGATTTCAGGGGCGCACCTGAAAACGTCGTGCACCAAAAAGATATAAAATGAATAAATAATAATTTAAAAAAATTCATTCAATTCTGGTTGTTTGTTTGAAATAACTTTTTTCCCAAAAACAACGGACTTAATAAATTAAATTCTTCTTCTTATTTTTTTTTCCTCTCCACCCAAATGTCGGTTTCCAGAGAAACAGAGCAATTCATTAATGGACCGAATCTTGAATAACATATATTAGCACAAAAAATTAGCACAAATCTATGTTCAGTTTTTTGGCATTTTACTAAATTGTACGGATTGAGCTATTATGTGTCGAATAGCGCGTGTCCAATTTAATTCTACTTTGGAGCGTTAAGTAAAAACAAGGGCATTAAAAGGCATTTTTCTGGTATGTAAGTGGATAAACAATACATTCTGTGCGATACCACATGCATCATTGAAAAAATCTTTCCTTTCCTTTTTTGTCTAGTTTTGGGCTGCGCGCGGTTTTTGTTAAAGGGTACAAAATAGCCGTATTTGTCAGCATTGTGACGTCAAAACGAGCATGGTGACCCCCACTTTTTATTACCTTTTTTTATCATCTTCTTGACTTGTTACATCAGTGTACCAAGTTTCATGTACAATCTATGTTAGGTTCTTTTACTAGGGAATCACCTTAATACGCGTAGGTTTTAAACAGGTGTTATGCATTTTCAGCTTGACAACACAAAGCAAAATTTATCTGCGCGAAACGATCAAGTTTAAAAAACTATGGTTGCTTTGAAACCGATCTTGGGGAAGATTTACTAGATAAAGATTAACTCTTTTTCTGCCCACATATCAACGCCAAAACTTCTACATTGAGGATTTTGTTTGTATTTTAGTGATCTGCGAAGCTGATCAAAGTGTCCGATCGAGCGTGGGTTTTAAAATATCAGCTCGAGTGCGACAAAGTTCAGTGACTTCAAATACATTTGTGGGCAAACTTGAATTTCTTTGGGCAGATTATTATACAACGATATTTTGTTTTTGTGTCCACGGTGGAGCTTCGGACCATATAAATCCAGGAACTTTCTTATATGAACACATTTTGTGAACGCTTCTTGAAAAAAATCGGACTTACGGACGCACATTTCCAGTAAAACTCAAGAAAATCGGTAAAAGTCGTTAAAGTCCGTTTTACTATGATGTATTTTTCGAAAAAATTAGATGATAAGAAGGTTATAACCACAGCTTGCAACTTTTGAAGACAAATTGCCTGTTCTTCCCAGGTTTATGGCCGCACAAACCACTTCTGCGTCAAGTCGACTCGAAAAACTCTATTTTGAATTTCCCGCTTTTTTTCACCGGACCAACATTGACGTCACAAGCTGTTTCTTGAGACAATTTTTCCGACCGCTCTACGAAGATAAGGGCCAAAAAACAGCCATTTTTAATTGCGAATATCTGGGAGATACTTGCTGCAATTGAGCTAAGACTTCATAGTACGTTTATTTGGTTCATATTAAACACATTTCACTAGAATTGAACCAAAATAAAAAAAGGTCGAAATTTTGGTTCATGTGACCTTTAACGTAACGAAATCTTTAATCAAGGAAGATTTTTGGGGGGGCAGGGGGGTTACCCCCCTGGATTTCAGACGAAGAATTTCTACTTCTGTATGAAGAATACTCTTCGAGGAACCCAGAATTTCTAAACCTCTAGTTTCAGCCTGAGAACACGCGTTTTGAAGTCTGTGACCGCAGATCAAGAATGTCTTGATATCCGCAGTGACTGTCATTCTGCAAAAATACTTCTGGTTGACGCCGTGGTACCAGGAACGTCTGGTGCTTAAGTTCCCTTTCTTAAAAGGAGTGGCCGCACGCAGTGTACCCTAGTCTCGCCTATATCGATGGAGAGTATTGATTTGCATATGATTACTGTGATTACTACGATTTGTAGTAGAAACGAACTCTGTCTTAGTGATTGTTGCATACGAACACTGTTGCCATCGCTGAAGGTTTTTTTTTTCTGCTATCGTAACGATCGTAGTTAAAATGGAAACGTAAGTTAAAAGACTATACTCAAAGGGCGCGAAACCATTCAACCAAAATTTCCCGAAATTTCGGTCCAAAACTCAATGGATCGAAAAAAAAGTTTCGAAAAAACTGGTCTACCTTTTGAGGTGGACCACATTTCCCGGTCCAACTGGTCGGAAATTTTGGTTGAGTATGGATCGCGTCCATATTGTTGTAAGATTTATCACAATTATTCTAAGTGACGGCTTAACATCTATCAGATCTGGGCGGATTTCCTGGAGGATGAATTTTTACTGAGACATATCCAAACAATGGAAGAAAAGAGAAATTTGTCGCTGTGTGTTCACGTGTTTTGAAAAACTTGAGGAGATAGATAAAAATTTAGACTTACTACAAGTCAACCTCTTGTTTGAGCGACGCGGTCGCGAGAGGTCGTCCTGCTCCGACGAATGACTATTTTGAAAGTCCATAAAAATTGTTTTAATAACGCGTTAAAGTGGTGATGAAAAAAAAAAGGTCAGCAGTTTAAGATCTCATTAAAAAACGATTTTTGTTTTTAATCATGCTACAAAAAGGGAAGATGAATAGGTCACATTAGAGAATTTTAAGATTTTGTTCTCCCGTGGTGGAACAAGAGTCTTGCACCTGCTTCTGTTGCTTTTGTAAAGAGAGAGCAGAGATTCTCATATTTTAGCTGGAATTATTAGGGAGATGAAACTTGGGGATTTAGTACTGGTTTGAATATATCATTTCAAAGATATTGCGGAAACTGTCACCTGATCCGGCTTGCCTGGTTTACAGTCCGTTTTGCCTACGCTTTTGTTTTTAGAAAGCACGTAGCATGTACATGTAGTGTACTCAAGTTGGTGGATCGAGAACAGAAATCTGAAATGTTGCCTTCGCACTTGTTTTTTTTCTTTTCTATACGTTTGAATTCCAATGCAGCGCTAATTTTGTAATCAGTGTCTTGCTTCCATTTTTCTGTGAAAGAGACGTTATGCGAGAAACCCTGTTGCAATAGGCAGCTTTGATGTTTATGATTTTTTACTTAACAATTAACAATCTTGGAAAAGGGGCTTTATTTTCTGTTGTGCTTATTTTTTGTGCGTGTATTAGTATGAAAAAAAGGTTACTATGTTTTTATTCGAAGCTTTTTGGAAAACAGCAGTTGAGTTGGGTAGATGGATCAAGTTTTGATTGATTCATTGCTAGATTCCATTAATTAGGCGGTGGAGCCAATGCGCTCGGTTCACTTGCATGCATTGTTCTACACCTCTTATTTTAATGGTCCCGTTTAATCTGCGCTTCCATTGTTTTGAGGAATAGGGACATTGTTATGTCACAGTCCCTATCGTATTCCTAGCCAATCATCGCCCCAAATGCGCTGAGCGTAAGTGTTTGAAATGTGTATGAACATATTAGTTGTATGTAGTAAGAAAATGCTGTGTTTTATGTGAACATAAACGTGCTACTATGCACATTGAATCGAATCGATTTGTTGCCAGTTGTGCCCATTTCTATTTAAATTCTCTTTATTGTCTTCCGTCGATTCCTAAATCCGCACAAAAATAGGTGTGTCCAAGTTGCAATCGTCTGCGTGGAAATGTTCTTTTAGTTCGTTGTTTAGAGACTGCCTTTTTTGAACGTTTGAGGCGCTCCGTCTTTTTAAAAGATGGGAAGAATACGAAAACACGGGTAGCCGAAGGTGATAATCGATAAATCTAATAGGTCTCATTTCGTTTGGGTTTTCCACATCTCTACTATTTCCTTCCTATTCCCTCATCGGAGCCACATAAAATAGGAAATCCCCCTCAACTTCTCATTATCAAAATTTCTGCTTTCCCTTCTTTTTTAAGGTTGCATCTGGAGTATTTGCACCAAAAATAGCCAAATCGTGTATCACAAGAGTAATTGTGGACAGACCTTCAAGTTGATAAGTTATAAAGAATTGAATTTTATAAACAGGAAAATGTGTGTTTGGTAGAAAAAGTAGTTGTGAATATTCAATTCGTCCATGAAATTTGATGTATTGAAATTTGCGAAAAAAGAGAAATTTAAGTCAAGGAAACTTAACGGTTGCAAAACGTCTTTATTTTTATATATATATATAATTAATTTATTTTACTTATTGATTTATTTAACGCAACGAAACGAAAGGTATCCTGGCTTCAGTATCCTGGGCGGAGGTCAGCGCTGAGGAGAAAAATGGACGAGTTCATGTTAGCATGGCGGGGTAGTGCGTCATAAACGCAGACATTACCACATACATATAGAAAATAATGTACCAGAATTATATGCTTCTGATGTTATACTAGCGGAAGTTTTGAAAATGTGTTCACAAAAATACGGGAATATTTGAGGAGAAACCGGGCGACACGGAACACTAGGAACTACACCAGGCACTAGGATACAGTTTTGGCGAAGCCATACAATTCCAGACATAACTAATCGATGATCAATGACATCGATTGGTAATCAATGAGTAATCGATAAGTAATCAGTTGATTAGTCATTGATTATTGGCGATGATCGATGAGTAATCGAAGCCCAAGAATTTTGTGGCCCATCGATTACTCATCGATGTAATTGATTACTCATCGATGACCCATTGATTACTCATCGATTATTATACTGCGCACGAAAGACACTTTTCTTGCTTTCTTGTACCATTTTTTTTCGTTTGTCATTGTTTTATCTGTGTTAGACGCATTTTTCCTTGTATCTGAAGATCCTGTTGACGATGTCGAGACGCAAAGTGCTAATCACAAATACAGATGATTCTCAATTGTGCAATATTTCACTTTACCCAACTCTTTAATTAATAACAAAACAACAGTAACCAACCAGTCTGAAAATGAAACTAACAAGTACGCTGACAAAAAATTCACTACGTCGATTTTTTCAGTTTTTGTGGGTGTTTGTCAGCAAAGTAAAACTGCTTCAGCTTAGGAAACATCCGTCATAAGCAGTTACATAACCAGCTTGAGTATTGAATATTTGTACAAGTTCCGATTTTTTGGCCTTTGAGCTAAACGCGATTCCTTCATCTTTTAAGAGTTGTTTTAGAACCGCTATTGTCATATTTTCGGCAGGTCACTGTTTCATACGTTCTGTTTTTTTCATTCTTTTCTTTCTCTTGGGCTTCATAACAAATGTTTACAACAAATGTTCCGAAAAAGATCTAAGAGATCTGAATCTCAAATCGTCTTCTGAACAGATATTTTCCGAAAATTTACGTTGGGTGCCCCTGCACCTCCAGCCTGTGCCGGTGGCCATCGATTTCTGAAAGAATTTTGTCATCGAGTAAAAGAATGCCTTCAGAAGATGGTGAGTTACTGGAATTTTTTGGACGAACTGAAAAGAGTCCAGGACCTTGAGGCCATGTACAAAGACAGCAAGTATCCATCGCACGGAGTTATTGAAGAATTTGCCCAACTGAACAACCTTGACGGGGCAACCGTCAAGGTATGGTTCAACAACAAACGGCAAAGAGATACTGGAGAACCTTCTGAACCTTAATTTCCATGTACTACTTAAGCTGAAAAGAATAAACATGGAAACATCTGTTTACATTTAAGTTTTTTTAATTTTGTTTTTCTTCGCCAAACACGTTTGCAGCCACGAGATGTTATCGATGAGTAATGGATGAAATAAATGACTAAACAATGCAATCAATGACTAATCGATGCAATCGATGACTAATCGATGACCAAAACTTTTGTGGCCTATCGATTAGTCATCGACTACTCATTGATCATCGGTAATAATCAATGACTAATCAACTGATTACCTGTCGACTACTTATTGATTACTCATTGATTTCATTGAAATCGTTGATGTCATCGATTATTAGTTATGTCTGGACAATTCCATGCACGAGATGTTACGTTGGGATGCTGCTATTTTCCCTTAGCGTTCTTTGGATGGCGAGCTAGTTTGTTGAGAGGAAAGGTTGTAGCATACAGTTGTCCACCCTTTATATATCTGGGTTCTGTGGTGTAATCACTATTTCACTTATTTTCCACCATCAAAGAGAGGTGTGGAAAAAAAATTCGTACCGAAACCAAACATTCTTTCTCCCCCACCCCGCTAAAAAGTCAAATGGTTTAGATGACGTAAGAACTAGATGGCGCATGCGTGTAAAGTGTGCATGAGGTTTTGCGGAACGCATTTTGGTTCATGCGTCTGATCTTTAATACGATGAAAATTTTGCTTCATGTGGATAGAGTATCTATTTCGTTTTGGACAAATGAGTTTTTGGCTGTTTGAATTTCGTAATATTGGTAAGTTTGGAGATTATTTAGTAGATAATGTACTGAAAATAGAGAAAATATAAAGATCGATCAGTGAGGATTCGGGGGGGGGGGGGGATCCGCCCAAAGGGGTCCCTTTTCCGGGAAGTACTTCATGTCAAGCCTAAAAGTGAAATGATTGACGGACGTAAGAACGAGATGACGCATGCGTATGAAGTGCGCATGAGGTTTGACGTGAAGCCGAACTTTTTGGTATATGGTTCCGATCTTAGGAGAAAAATTTTCCTTCACGTGGATAGAGTACCTATTTTGCTTTGGAGAAATGAGTTTTTCGCTGTGCAAATGTCGTTATAGTGGTAAGTTTAGACCTTATTTAGTAGATAGTGTACTGAAAATAGAAAGTAAAGTTTGTGACCATCGTTGCACGAGGGTACTCGCTACAATGATTTAGACGGGGACGCTCCGCTCCAAAAGGGAAGCTTTTTCAGGCTTCAGGTATATGAAAGGTTACGAATTTGACTTGTGAAGTTTGTGAAAGCGTAGGGAAATGTGTCATAGGTGGAACCGATGAATTTCATGGTTTTATAAAGTTGCGAAAGCGTCCTATTTTTGTCATGGATTCCTATTGAAAGGACAGTGCATTTACAGCAGGTAAAAGGGGTGCAAAGTTCCAAGCAAGGTATGTGAAAAGGGTACCATTTTTTGTGTAAAAATTGTATCTGTACGGGCTTGGAGGTAGGGGCCGAGCCTCCCTGTATGGAAATTTGTTGTGTGATACATAAAATCAGAGCTGTGAGACAAACCAATGAATATCTCTCCTGAGCATTATTTTTGAATTTGCAAGAAGCATGCAGGGGCAAAGTTTGAGAAGCTGTTAGGCTGAACAGTTTTCGAAAACCCGAATTTCAATCCGTTTCAATCTTGTTTAGTTTTGTCCATCTGTGGCATCTGTTGTTTCTGTTATGTTATTTTAACCTTCCTTTTTAAGCAGTTATTTTTATGTTTCTGTTAATGTAATGGGCATTTTGTAATGTGCTAATTTGGCTGAATTTTGTGAGACAGATGCTTTCATTTAGACAATCTGTGAGTGACAAAAATATCTAGTAGGAAACATTTGTCTATTAGAATCATCCTTGTGTTTCAAACAAAGGGAAACAATTTGCTAGTGGTCTGATCAGTTTTCTAGTGAAAAAAAATATTACTAGCAAAAGCTGCAAGTGTACGAAAAAAATTAACTTCAAAACCCTCCGCTATGTCCTGGGGATTGGGGAGACTGTGATTTCAATTGAGTGGTGGATAAGGAAGATATTTATTTAGTATTACCTTGTGTGTGCACCTTTTGCAGCGCTTCAGCTTGTTATCTGTATAGAAGTAAAAATAGAAAATACTTGATTATTGGGTTAGCAACAGTGAAAAGTGACATTTTTTGTGAGTGGTGATATGCAAATGCATATAAACAAGAAAGTTTAAGTGGATAGAAATTTCCTTTATCTGTAAATGGTATGAAATAATATTCATTAACAACTAAATGATTGGATAATTCAATTGTAGAGTCTTGATTGGCTTAGCAATGATTCTATGAGAAGGACAAATGCTACCTGTAATGAAGGTGAAAAGGAAGACAAGTGGAAAAGATGTGAGCAGGAACAGGTACAAGAGTTTCTTGATAAGTAGTGTAATTTGGAAGTTTCAGGGTGTCATGTAAAACAATAATAAAAATTGCAAAGAATTGGCACCATTAATTTTGGGAAAGTAGTTTTCCACGCACTGCCCAATTGGTTGGAAATTACTGGTTTCAAACTCCCCTCCCCCTTAGAATTTGCAATGATCTTTTGCCACAAGTGTGGTAAAAAGGCATAATTTTTGTTTGAGTAATGAAGGTTGGAAGATATAGTGAATAGGAAATACCATACATTGTGTATTAAACCCGCTCCCTTTAACAAGGCACTCCTTCCCTTTCAGGAAGAGAAAGTTGATAAGGTGGCCACTGTATTATATCAGTCCCCTCTTTAGCTGTGTTAAATATTCATGGCAAATAAATGATAGACTGTATTAATAAGTCACTACTGTAAAACATCGTGTGGACTGATGTGTCATGGTTTGTTTAGGAATTGCAAGTTTGGATTTAATTGTGATTCTTGCATTGCATTGCACGGAGAAGTGATGTGATTGCCCTTTTGAAATGAAATAAGCCCCCTCTCAAATAAGCGCCCTCTCATCAAGTGGGCTTGAATAAATAAGGCCCCAAAAGGGCCTTAATAGAGGATTTACGGTATGTGATTTCACAAACGAATGTAACTGATATGTACAATTTGAGAGAGTAAAATAAGACTCAATGTGATTAAAAGTATGGAAAATGTTTACTCACAAGATGCTTTTTCATAGCCTTCACTACCAATTAAGCGCCTCAGGGCTATAAGTGGAAAATGCATTTGATCAATAACAGGACAAATTTATGGAAGCTTATTTATGTGTTTCTTTTTTATTTTGTAAGGCAACGTTGAACATGTGATGTTGGACAACATTCTTAGGGGTAAGTATAAATTATTCTTCTGTATATCAGAATTATCTTCACTATTGATACTCTTGTTTCTTTCATGTAGATTGAGAAATAGAAATTCTGATTGATGACGATGAGTGTAAAAGGAAAGAGTTTTCAAGAGTGTGAAGCATTTGTTCTCACGTGTTTTTTCTGAGCACTTTCATGTCTGAAGAAAGACTACTGAAGAAATAACACCTACATTTTGTAACAAAGTTGAGTCATTGTACTCAAATAGAATAACTTTATAGAAGAAAACAATCTGGATCTCTTCCCTTTCCGTCTATTCAAACTGGAGTGTCAGTTGAGAGCAGTTATTTTCTTCTTGTCTTCAGGATAATATTAAATTAATCTTTCAAAATGGTTTAAGTAAAAAGTAGGAAATATTTTTATTATCAGATTGTTCATTATTTTAGGTAGTGTAGGAAAGCAACAGACGTTGTAAGAAGGCAATATATGTGACTGTGCATATTGTTATTTTGTGTATCAAATTGTACTAAATTCATATTTACCAAGGGGTACTCGCCTAGACTGTGAGACACGGAATCTGTTGGAAAATTACAAAGTAAATTATTATTAATGACTTACAGTCATATTTTTTAGCTCAGTATTTCAGTTTGATCTACAATTTGTTGACAAAGTTGGTATATACTTGTTTGGAGAACAGTAATATCAGTAGTTTAAGGAGTACTGATAAATTGCTTTACCTGTTGTTGTTGGTGTAGTTTCACTAGTTTGTACCCCATGTCTGTGAAAAAGAATTATTAAAAAGTTGTGTTTAAGGCTCATTTTATACTGTGAAAAATTGTCTAACAGGACTTAAACGTTTTCTATAGATAATATGATAACGAATTGTTATTAACAGATAGACATGAAAGACATCTACTATAAAAATGGGTTCTGTTAACTTTAATTATTTACCATAGGTAGGTAATGGGATTATTGTTTCTGTAGTACATTTTTGGGAGGTGAGTTGTGTTAGAAAAAGTGGCAAAGCCACAAGGGAAAGTCCTGCCTGCCATATTTCTTATGAGTTTTGAATGCTCCTTAATTTTGTCACCTTTGTTGGAACGATTTGATTACCCAATCAAGAAGGGTGGTATAATAGGAAACTGATCTGGAAACGAGGCAGGTCAAGTGTAACAATTAACTCATGGATAAAAAGAATGACATCTTGGAAGTTATTTAAGATACAGGCAGGGTATTCTGTAGTTACTTTAAACATTAGAAACTAAAACTTTTATTCAACGGCGATTTAGGTGCCAAAAAAATTTTTCTCGTTCAAAAGAGGTCAAAGAATCTCTAAATTTCTTGAGAGGTCAAATTCTGCGTCATGACGAAAACCAGAAGAAATCAGTGCTAGAATGGACAGGAAACATATTGATCAGCCTCATTAATAAAGTCTCAATTTGCAAATATAATGTTTGCTCAGTGTAAAGGAAGAATAATTCTTCTTATTGTGTATAGCATACTGTACCCGTTTAAATTTTCTAAGCTATGAGTATTGTCAAGCTCTCTTTTGATGTTGAGGTGGGATTGATCAGGCACTTTGCAGTGCATGACAAAGATGTCGTCTGATGTGCTTTTGTTAAATAGGCAATTCTCTGTTTTAAAACAAGATTAGCTAGTTTCAATTGTTTTTTAATGAAGGATAACAGAAGATGTGTCTTGAACATTGACATGTACTTGGCATCAAAAAATGCCTTTCTAGAATTTTTTCAAACACAAATCTTATTAAGGAGTGGAGCTTGTTTATACGTTGCTCAATTTCATTTGATTTCTGCATTAACGTGGTAACTTTTCCTTGGGAGATAGTAGACATACTTGGTGTTTTATCATTTCTGAGCAAATCAGAAACTCCCATAAGCCTGGTTGCACAGTATTCGAATAGCCCAAGAATTGTGGCAGGTGGGATTTCAAATAAACTTGTATTCACTGTTCTTGCAGCTTTGGTGCCAAACAGCACTCCCATGTTAATCCTGCAACGTATGACAGCTACAATATATTTTTCAATTTGTCTTTTTTTGTTTTCCAGTTGTTTGTTTCTTGGCTTTTTGTTTTGAACGTGAAACAAATCAAAATTAATCTCTACTCTTTGAAGATGTAGCTGCGTTCACTTTTCTGCCTTAAAAATTTGGGATGTTTGTTTCATTGCTTTTTTTTTTGAGAAAGGGAAGAAATAGGCAGGAACAAACACTATGATTAAAATAATGTAGGTAAATTCAAAGCGTGAGAACTTGTTACAATGGAAATGAAGGACAACATCAAAATAAGTTGGGCAAGCTGTAGTTAGCATGTGCTAGCCCAAAAGTCATTTTCCGGGGGGACTGGCAGCGAGGTCTGGAACCGAGTTTACATGATCGCCCAAGTTACGAAATTTGGCCGAGAGAGACTGAGTACCAATTTTCCTTCAAAACAAATATGGCGGAGAATGCAGACATGGAAGGACGATGAATTTTTGCTTGGTTTTAAGTGTTCCCGCGCCCAAACATCAAGAAGAGATTTTCATGAACTTCTTTAATGGAATTTTTGGACATCAGGTGGCGTGATGTTTGAACCGTTCATGGGTAACTTCAGTTACCGTGGTTTAACATCTCGGCAAGTTCAGTTATTTTTAACCTTCGTGAATTTTCGAGTGGCCAGCCTGCTCCATCTCTTATATTTTTCCACTTACAGTGGTATTAAGACTCTCTTCCTTATCCTAAACATATACTACGAGCACACTATATTAGTATGAGTCTTACAACAATCATATATGAACGTTCAGTAAGGTGGCCCATTCCTATTTATGCATCAGTCAATTGAAACCCCGGCCCCCCGACCCCCGGGACATAGCGGGGGTTTAACGCGGCTATAGCCGGGATTTAACGCACTTTTAACAACCCGTTGGCCCCGAGGGGCGGCGGATTTAACAAAATGTCTGTTAACCGGGGCCATGGAGCGGTGATTTAACAGCACGTGCGATCACCGGAAGCGGGGACAACAGCCGGTATTTAACACGAAGGACTGAACCGAATTCTCGTCTTCCAAGATTTCTTTTTTTCTCTCGAAAACGAAAACTACTTTCTTCGAAGCAAGTTATTTTCCTCGGCGGTTTCGGCATGGGCCAAACTTTGAAGCGTATAAACAACATATTCTGTACCTCGCGTCGCGGCGATATGAGCCCGTTGATACAAGCGGAAGAGCAGCGGTAAAAGCACTCGTGAATAGGAACCTCGGACATTTCGTCGATTTTTTAAACAGTTTAATACGTTTATAAAGATTGAAAAATATTTCACATTTTCCGAAAAGAAGTAGGTAAAGTTAAGCTATGGTTAAGGTTAGAATATTTAAAGTTAGAACATTTTTGGACGGAGTTACGTATTTTTACGGAATGTTACCTGCCCAATTGCTATAGGTAACTAATGTGTTTGAGCTGATACGGATTGAATCATTGTTGACAGAGAGTATTTTGAAAAAGAACAGTTACAAGCATTTTCGCCCTATAAAATCGAGATTTGTTTCAAATAAATGCAATATTTTAAATTAACCTATGATATTTACGAGCCATTTGAGATATCGACATTTGGCGTCCTATCAGATATAAGGTGGGTCGTTAACAACGTTTTGGTGTCAAGAAGAATGGATACGCAGAACAAGTACAAGGCGAGACTTCCACCCGAGTCACTGAGGTATGACTAATATGTTATACGCTGAACCAACTGTGTTTAAAAATACACCCATGCATTTATGTAATACCAAATATAATTCTTACCGGCTAGTTTTCGTTAATGCCCAACACAATGTCGACTTGTACATTAAATTGTGTCTATTAATCAAAAAAGGGCAATTTTCGCAGCAATTGACGATTACAGAAGAAAACAACATTAACAGTGGAACCTCGAGTCCTTAGTGATAGAAGCGAAAACAGGTAAAGTTTAACCTTTGCAACGTGTCCTTGACAAACGATGCCGATTTGAGTTGCTTCTTCATTTGGTTCCGGTGTGTGGATGCCCCGCTATGCGGGGCTTTTAACAGGTCTCTTAGCCCCGGGGCCGGGGAAATAAGCCATCTTTTAACACTGGGTAAATGTTAAATTCCCCGCTATGTCCCGGGGGTCGGGGGGCCGGGGTTCTAATTGACTGATGCATTATATGGGTGTTGGTTCGCGTTTTTCAGAATGAAAGATTCAACCGATTTCTACGATTTTTTGTATCCTTATTAAATGATGATGGAACTTTAAGAATATTTTATTTTTTCTCTTATAGATGTAAAAACTTTTGAGATATCGGCATATATTTAAAACCTCACTTTTACGAAAAATGAAAATAACTTCGAAATCCCACGACAGATTTTTCCCTAACTTCAGCAAATAAGCCTCAGAGCTCTCTAGTTTTATGTCTGCAAGTTTGAAGGCAATCGTGACCGAGAAATCGCTCCACAAAATGTTGGTCAAATTTTATGCTAAAATGATAGGCTAACACATTTGTGAACGTACACGCACAAATTGCGGAAAAGAGTTGACAAACTACCTCTTGAATGAAACCTTGTTCTTACCCAAAGCATTGTTGGAAGAAAATGAGTAATCCGACAACTACGGCGAACATAGTTAGCGGTTTAATACAACCAACTTTCTGCTACATGCGCGTTGAAATTAAAAATATATTCTGTTTATCCAACGTACTCTGCATTTGTCCGTTCATTTTCGACAAAAATATTAAGAAAACAAAACACAGCATCTGCAGAAACCACTTGACAGTTTCTAGCTTCAAAGGTTCTCGTTCTGAGGCGAAATAAGCCCGCTAGTTCGGGAACACCTCGCCATCCAATTTTCAACTTCAATGAAAACCCTCTCGCACGATAATATATTCAAGATCTCTGACTTTCCTATCACATGCTCACGAGCTTTATGCCACTTGTGATTAAGAATTAATTTTGGGCCTTTCACTTGAAAATATAAACTCTTCTACATACGTATTGGGGGGGAGGGGGTGGTGGTCCTTCTATTAGTCTTGTGGGTCTTCTAAACAGAAACAGCTTGAAAGCCTGCATCTAGAGACGCAAAGCGAGTCAAAAGGTCGGTATCGAGGAACAATAGAGAGTTTTAGATCGGAGTTTACCGCGAACCTCTAACCGCAGTTTTCGGTTACCCGTTTGCGGTTTGACGTTCAAACATAATTCGATTTAGATTGGCGGTGGATTAAAGAAGTGGATTCTGGTTTATTTTTCCATTTAGAAATAGAAGAAATTTCAGTCAGTGAAAATAAAATAAATTTACGGTAACACTGGGTTATCTAGCAGCAAAGTACTGTAAATTCTTACATCTGAGTTGTTCTTGCAAATTTACGGCCGCCATTTTGAATCAGCAGCCGTGAGTGGCACTTGTTTTCAAGATCCAATAGGATTTATCAAACTTAGCATTTCGCCCAAATTTGTGCCTCTGTTAATGGATAAAGACTTGCTCCACAAGATTTTTGTATCATTACGTGAGATAAAGCAAGAATTATACGCTAAAAGCTTTCAGGTAAATGACCTACGTGAAAACCTACCTCCCCACGTTGAAAATGCACGTCGTAAACCTCAAATCTTTGCGTAGTAACCGCATGTAATGACAAACGCAAGACCAGAAGAAAGGAAAACTTAAGCTTCACATCCCCGCGGTAAAAATTGGTTACAGCAGAAACCAAACCAATGACCAACAGGACTAAGAGCGAATATTCACTCCACATTGTGGAATTGCTGCGAAGCCGAACTTCTTGTAGCCTCCCATGCAGGCGTAGACTACGAGTAGTCCCCCATTTTTCCTCAAGAATAATAGAGCGAAACGCGAACGCGAAAGGGAAAATCACCCCACGCAAGAAAAAAGGCGACACGCGGCGGGAGAGAGAAAAAATGAGGGACTACACACAAAGCCTCTAGCCTCCCACCCAGGCGTTTTTAGGGAGCTCGTTTTCATCCCTCCCCTGTGGGGAGGGATGAATAACGAGCTCCCCTAAAAATGCCTGCGTGGAAGGCTAACAAAGCCCAAGCTTTGACCCTTAACAGCCGACTGATTTTGGAGTGTGAAGTTCGTATCCCCTTCCAAATCAATTAAGCGCATCCAATGGGATTCCTTCCCTCATTGAGCTGTCATTGCTCTTGTAATCGGTAAACTGCGTCCGGCGATTGCCTCCTGGATCTGAATAATTTTAAGCGATTTTCTTTTTGGCCGTGAATGTGATGGTTTCCTGCAATGTTTTGTCACGCTGGGCCCAGCTCGTTAACGTTTTTAGCAGGACAGATAGATAGCCTCCCCCTCTGACATTCTTAGGTGTGCGTCACGCGTTCCTTCCCCATGCCTAAGATTGTCTGCGGGGGAGGCTAGATAGATAGTGATATCCAAATCTCGAAGAGTGGATTGCAGTGTAAACTAAAACTACATCAACTATGAAGAATTGCGATGTGACTCAGTCATGATATGAATTTTAACTGCCGCTTGTTTTTCTGGAGATAATGTGAGTCTTTGGACTGGAGTGCGTAGTTCCTCCCTTGGTGATAACTTTTGAATAAGCTTAACAGCCTTGCGACTGTTCTGTTATTCCCACTTTGTGATCAGGCAAGACCGCGGTTTCGGTTCTCCATGCGAACCTCATCAGTGGCCAGGTTGGCTTTCTTCTTAGTTGCTTCTACAAGAGCAACTCTAGTTATTTGTTCTGCTCTAGTTATTTTTTGTGTAAATTGTGATTATGTCGAGTGTTGATAGCGGCTGGCGCGTTTTTGACAGATGTTGACAGATTTCCATGGAAGAGCCAATCAGAGTGTTGTGTTGTGAGAGCAATGCATAAGTTCAAAGCTTGGGCTTTGTTTGTAGTCCCTCATTTTTCTCTCTCCCTGTCGCGTGTCGCCTTTTCTCGCGTGGGGTGATTTTCACGCGCTTGCGTTTCGCTCACTCTATTATCCCTGGGAAAAATGGGGGACTACTCGTAGTCTAACGCAGGCGTTTTTAGGGGAGCTTGTTTTTCAG